CTGAATTCTGTGTATGGCTGTTTTATTAGTTCGTTGATTGCTATAGTACATAAGTACAATCTGGTGCCCAGTATATAGCACGTGCACTTGATAGACTCTTAATTTGACTTGATTAGATCTCTGTGTTAGTAAGTTCAGTCCATGTAGGGTGTGTGACTCTGTAAGGTTTCTCTGCTCCTGAGAACAGTTCATGAATACTGTATTAAGATTTCTGTGCTAGTAAGTACAGTCTATGTACTTTGTATGAAAGAGGGAAATTACACTTGATCAATACTTCGTTTTCTCACTAAAAACACTACTTGTATGTCACGAATCCCAAGTTTTGAACAAAAACTTGGTAAGTCTTAGAATCCAGGTTCCCTTTAACTTTCACACGCAATCAGTACATTGTAAGATAAAAAAGTACAGTTAAAATGAAAGACATATATTATAATTATGTAGACTAGTTCAAGGAAATTGTACTAAAGAACTATGAAAAATGTCCTCGATTTTAGTCATGTTCGCAATTAAATATGTTCTACAATGTGCATTAATCAATATAGTTAGAAGTTTGTAGCAAAAAAATAGAATAATAATTGACAAAACTACCATTTTTCTTGATAAATATCTCATATAAAAAGCAGATTCTGCATTATAAGAAATCTCTAAGTTTATAAAATTGTAACAGAATATTTGAAGAGGCCAAACAAGTATGTATAGTTGCTTTAACCATAGAATTAAATCATTATATGCTTTTATTGTATTTATTTTATTTACATTTCGTCGTTAAACGTCTTTCTGACTATGCCGACAGTTACAGAAGTTTGTTTTAAAATATCATTATAATTTGCTTCAAGTTGATACTACAACAAGTTCAACATTAACGCAAATCTCAGAAATGAATACGGTAGAAGTCACGTGAGTAAAAAAAAACTTCTAAGAAATAACGAATAAGTCGTCGTATCCCATAACAACATGGGAACACAAAAACTTTGAAATTGATCACTACCAAGCTGCAAGCATGTCACGTTATTGGACTTGATGAATTATTCTATACAAGAGAACAGCACAAAGTAATTACTTCCTATTGCCGTAGGTTCCTGTAGCCGGTTGTTACTCACTACCATTCTCTTTAAAAATCAAGAAGTGATACCCACCAATAGTTCTGTCTAAATTCATGTTTGCGATTTAACACCTTAGTCAGTAGTTGTTAGTTATTGTCGAATATTCTGCTAATTTGTTGAATTTTGCGCAAAGCTACACCAAGGTTATCTGCTCTAGCCATTCCTAATTTAGAAGTGATAGACTAGAGGGAAGGCGGCTAGTCAACATCACTTACATCCAACTTTTGGGCTACCCTTTTTCAACGAAAACTGGGATTGACAGTTACATTATAACGCCCCCCCCCCCACGACTGTAAAAGGGCGAGTACGTTCGGTGACGGAATTCGAATCCGTGAACCGAAGATTGCGTGGCACGCGCCCTCACCATTTTCGACTAGCATTCATTCACACTTAACTTTTATAGCTTTATAAGATGGAATAAACTCTTTAAGAAGTGACTTTTCAGGTATGGCTTAGTTTACACTATGAAACAAGTTTATGATACATTAAACACTAGACTGTTCTATATCATTAAACTCACTGTTCGCCAACAGTCTAGGGCAGTCTTAGGAAACGTTTTGCACAGAACAGTACAAATATTGTTGCTTAAGAAAATATATTTTGAAGATTAGCAGAAATGTATAAAAAGTGTTCTTTTTCTTTTTTTATATGTGGTTTTCAGCAAACGTTCCAGCCCACAACCGAAAACAGTCAAGTCGGTAATACTCCTAAAATTCCTTTCTAACTACTATCACTATATATATATATATAAGTTGGTATTATAGATTTGAACACTAACTTTTATCATTTTATCGTTAAAATAAATGCTTAAACTGTTAATCAAGTCAATTTGAAAAGGGAGTAACAATTATAGTTTCGTGTGTATTTGAATATTTAGAAATTTGTGATATTGGTTATTTCAGATATTATGCATTTAATAAAAAACGTTTTAATGAAATAATAATTATTTGACTCATATCGCTGGTTTTCAACTTTGGGACGATCTGGATAGCTGAAAAGCGGCATATACACCGAGATAGAGCGACTATGCCAGGTAGCTCTTGATATCTAGCTTCTGATGACCTGTAGAGAAGAAAATTCAGGTGACATTTATATTGCTTTAATACGGACGTCCGTGCCATCCCAACATAGAGAGTGTTAGCACACTCTCCGATGTTGGACCAATTAATTTACGGTTACAAAATATTATCGTTGGTCAGTGTTACCAACAAATTTATTTATGCTGAGGCTAAATGTTATATAATATCTAAAAGTACTAAATATACAGCATTGTTTGAACATTGTAATTACATGCATATGAATAACATATACATTAATTAACCCAAGAACATAAGTATTAGGTCGTCAAGAAATTAATGTCGCGTTTTGGAACACTTTCATTAATCACCCCCCCCCTAAAAACAAAAAACATACATCACGTATAATAGTTGAACAAAACACCTAAACGTCACGTTAGAGTAGCCTATATAATGTGTATAGCTTAGTATACTTTAATTCCCTTATAGTGATGGCAAACAACGAGATACATATTTGGCATGTAATGCTGTTTTAATACAAAAATGGAAACAATGCCTCTGTAGCCACAAAGAATATCGAAGACGTATATGGAAATGTTTTTAACATTTGTAAGTGTCAACGCTGGTTCAGGAAATTTCGTTTAGATGACATAAGCCTTAAAAATTGTGATGGCAGGGGCCGACATGTTGGAATTGATATTGATGCTCTGAAGACGCTTGTTGAGTCTAACCCAAGGCAACACACTCGTAAAATGGCCCTGAAATTGCATGTCTCTCATGAAACAATACGTAAACATTTAAGGAATATTGGAAAACTCCATAAAAAAGGTGTTTGGGTGCTTCACGAACCCTCCGATGATCATCGTTTCCAACGTGTGAGCGTTGCTTCGTCTCTTCTGGCGCGGAATGCGCGTGAACCATTTTTGGACAGAATTGTCACTGGTGATGAAAAACGGATTCTCTATGCGAATATTAAACATCAAAAACACCAAGGGCTATCTGTGCTCTGCCCACCACGGGTATCGAAACCCGGGTTCTAGCGTTGTAAGTCCGCAAACATACCGCTGTGCCACTGGGGGGCAGGCGGTTGGGGTGCTCGTTTCGCAGTCTGCGGGTCACGGGTTCGAATCCCCGTCACACCGAACATGCTCGCCCTTTCAG